TTCAAAATTAACACTGTCTGCAGAAGCTCAGGAAAATGCCTGTAGGAAAAGAAATGCTTGACTACAGAAGCAGAAAGATGGCTTACTGGCAGAGACACAAAATACATAAAAATCAGGAAGTGTTTCTTCCATCTGCAAAATTTGGGATGGCTGACTGGATACTGATCTAGAAAAGACAAGTATCATCAGCACAGGAAGTCGTGTGGCTTTACATATGCTCTCTGAAATTTCTTCCAAACAGCTCTGCAGGTGGCACAGACGAGCTACAGATGGGGCAGCAGGGATGTGGGTGCAGGTTTTGCTGCTCTCTGCTCATGCAGCCTCCAGGCGAAAAGAGAGTGCATCTTGGCAGGGAGAAGGTAAAGGTAAGGTGCTGCACCAGCAGCTTCACTGTTCTGAAATGCAATGCCTCTTGGCTGCCCTTCTTCACCATGAAATCATCCTCTCTTTTTCTTATAGGCTTTGATGTCCAGTGAGGGTTATCAAGGATAACCATAAGAAATGCCACATTCAGACAGATTGCTTCTATGTTGACACTGTGGTTAGAAAGAGATCACAGGACCAGTTATACTTAGGTCTTGCCTAGACTGAAAAAGGGTGTACCAATGCATGCCCCACTTCACAAGAAATACGGATACTGGCTTTGATGGATATTACAAGTATCTCTCGGCCTACACTTATGGACAGGTTCAGGGAGATAAGGACCTGTGAAAGTCCCTGGATTATGACCCTAATTTTGATTGAATCAAACGCTTGGTGCCTCCGTCGGTGACGTGCGCCGCAGAAGTGCGCTGCCAGCCTGGTGACCGAGGAAAGCGGAGCAGCCGCAGGCCAGTCGCCTGTCGCCAGCGGGCGTGGGATGGCCGCCCGCTCTCCCTCCGCAGCAAGTCCGTTGCGTTGCAAGTTTGTGCCGCTCTGCACCGCTGGAAAAGCTCCAAGGCGCGGGGGGCGTAACTAAACAGCGAGCATGAGTCGCCCAGAAAAAAAAGGAAACCCCGTCGAGGGCAGCGAGCGGCCGAGACGTGCC